CTCCGCTCCTGCGTGACCTAGGGGCCGTTTTTGTGTGGTACCTTTCCTCTCGCTTAGCTCGCGGCATCCCGGGAGGGAAGCTGTCAGCTCAGCCAAAACACGCCCATCATACTGCCGACTGCGCATCTAGACCCACATGGAAGCGGGCAGATAAAGCAAGACACGGATAGTACCTCTGTTTGATCCTGGGAAAGATATGTGCCTTTGTCAAACAGTTGCCCAGACAGCAAAGAGCGGTTCTATAGTCAGTCTAGCCGCAACCGACGAGCCAATCAGTGTGTCAAAGGGATACTACACGTGACTCTGTCCGACTAGTTCCCAAAGAGTGCTGCCGAAGCCATGGGAGGAAGAGGAAAGGCACTTACGGGCGAATTTCGAGTGTAACTAGGGTAACAAAGCGAGGTCTGGGACCCACAAAAGAGGGGATTTTCGTCATTCGTGTCCAGCTCGTTTGCACCGTTGCATTTAATTGCATTATAATAGGAGTTCTTTTCCCTTTTCTCCAGCTGCTCGCTCTAGCCCCTGTAACTTTGGCCGACTAGATCCAAGGGGTGTTTGCTCTTTGCAAAGTTACAGCGTAGATCTGGTTAGAGCAAACATTTGGTTATAACACTGATTTGTGAAGCTTGGTTGGTCTTCCTATCTATGCCATTGGACCGGCACATTTGGCATGCCTTGGAAAATTCGAATTCCAAACGTACATACCTGAAACTGGTCATGTGAATGTCGTCCAATTTTTCGAAGCTCAACTAGGAGGTGGTGAAATATTAAAAATAAAACAAAACCAGCGGCCGCGTATTTTCAATGTCCTACACCAGCTTGCTCGTCGCCTGCTCACTGGTTTGCAAGCTTGCTGCCGGATTGGTTCCTGGACGCAAACGCTGACAATGCCTAGCAAAGACTGGCAAACAGGATAATTGCGATCAGTAATATATTTTATTGAAATATGAACGATGGCCACCTGGGAGCAAGCTTGCAAACCAGTGTGCAATATGTTACATATTGGAACAGGTAGTTCAAATATGCACATAGGCAAACAATGGCTGCTGGAGCCAGGGGCGGATCCAGACCTCCATTTTAGGGGGGGCGGTTCCTCGGTGTAAAACGGCGGGGGGGGGGGGGGGGGGGGGGAGGAGAGAGAGGGGGAGTGTTTATACTTTTTGTGGAGTTATAGTTTTTACTAAACTCTGATAACATAATATAGATCTTGAGAGCTTTTGTATCGGTTTACCTGTCGGGGATAAACTCTTTGAATTAAAACCTTTCGGGTGACCACGCTAGAGGTAAGTATCTCGAAAATTGTGGTGACACTATCCTTTCTGAAACTTGGGTCTCAGACCGACACTACGTGAGCAGTCGATTTAGGGCAGCATAAAGACATTGCCTTGGCAGACATTCTGGTTGGAGCTAGTGCTCAACTGCGGCGGCAACGGGAAGAGCGGCTTAAATCAGCGGAGCGAGTATGTTGCAAACAAGCGACAAAAATGGCCCGGCGGCTTCGACGCTGCTCGCGGCGTCAAACACTGTTGACGCAGCGAGCGAAACGAACGCTGCCAGGCAAGTTCGTTGGTTGTTCGCCGTATATTTGGAATGTCCAGAGCGCAGCACATGCGGCATTGCCAATACGAACTCGTGTTTTTACGTGTTCTGGATGTAACTCGAGAGAACGAAAGCAAATAATTGTTGAATATTTTTGAAAGCATGTTGCAGTTCGGCAACTATAACTTTTAAACTTAGACAAGACCTTAAACCACCAATGGATCCTTCCAAATTATATTCAATTGCACTTTGTCTGGATAATTTCTGTGTGAAAGGAACACTTACTTGTTTCTGGGTATTTAGCTCATTCGGCACGGTCGAGAGGACAGGTGCAGAGATATGATAGGGCAGAGCAGTTGTATGATCGGCGAATCTCAACTGGGCAAAAGGCCGATCACGACTGCAGCATGGATGTTTGGGAGTCGGTGTTCACTGGAACGGGCACAGGCACTGTCTATTTAATTTATGTATAGCTGCATCTTTGAAAGGGCTCGTTTTCCCCAAGTCCGTTCTGCACACACATATTCGCTCCTGCAAAGCCGCGCGAAAGCTCTGCCGTCAATCCACAGAAGCCGCGTTTAACTGGAAAAGACAGCGCCAAGGGGAGACAAGGGGTAGCGGGCGCCTTTCCTAAGATATGTCCCGCCACCCTAAGTTGAAACGGCATTGTATACAAATAAATGCCTACGGCGTCGGCTTGAGGACCCCGTGTAAGCAGCCTCCAGCCTTTAAAGTGCTCGTACCGTTTATCTTTCTTTTATTAGCTTCCCGCCACGAGAAGTCGTACCGCAGGCTGTATGAAGCACATTAGAGGAAACATCTCCCCCTTCTGGCGCTCGTCGGCTTCTTTCTGTATTCCGCGCTGCGGCGCTGATCCTCAGTGAGGGATGGAGGCGAGGACGCGGGCTTATGTTTAAGCCAAGGTCGTGGGGAAGTCCGGAGCGTCTTCAGGAGAAGCTCAGACCCAGACTACACTGTACCCAAAGTATTTGCTTCCTCACTCAGTTGAGAAGAAAAGCAATTTGACACTTGGTTGTACAAGCTGCATCCCCCCCCTGGAACGTCTCCTCCCGGTACGTCCCCTCCGCACTTCCCTCGGCAATGAGCACACCGTGCCAATAAGATACCTTTAGTGAGCCCGTGGGTGACAGCATCTCAAAGCAAGCCAAAAAAGACATGCCAAAAGACAAGCCCAGAACCACGAAGAAACCATCAAACGAAAAGTGATGAAAAGGCGGCCGCTAGAGAGGAAGGATAATCCGCTACCCTTGAGGAAGGCTGCTTGTCGTCTGCGTTTGAGAGCTTTCAGGGCACAAATTTTTCGCTGACAACCTCCAAAGAGAGAGAGGGAGACAGAGAGAGAGGGAGAAAGGGGACTAGATATGTTGAAGGTATTTTCCCCTCGTGCTCGACGTGCTGGCCTTGTTTGGAAGTGTGCCTGCAGTCGAGGACCATGATATTTGGTGCGCCTCCCCACTGTCTCTCCACTTCGAAACTCCTGGCGCCGTTCCTGTCGGGAAGACGTACCGTGACCTTGACGGAGATAAACCCCACTTTGGAAGCGCCCAGCAGGCGCGTCCACCCACCGCTGTTTTAATCTTTTGTTTCTCGCGTCGATTGCTTACGTTTTTTCTTCGAGCTGACAAAGAACCCCGGGGGGGGGGGGGGGGGGGGTTGCCTGGCGAGGCGTTTGAGGGGGGCGATCGCCCCCACCGCCCCCCCCTTGGATCCGCCACTGGCTGGAGCGCGAGGTAGAGTCTAAGCTCATTACAACAGACCTGGTTACAGCAGGACATTTGGATATAACATACCGATTTGTGAAGTTCAAACGACTCTCCCCTATGTACCATTGACTCAACTTCATATCTGCACACAACATACTCCTTTTACAACAGACCGAAATCTTGGTCAAAATCAAGGTTTCTTATAACGAGCTTAGACTGTATACTCGACACTGCTGCCAGAAAAGCGTGCAAAGTTTGCACGCTCTCGGCTGAGCGAACAAAATTCTTCTAGACGCGTCACCGCGACTACTCGAGAACGCAACTTTGCAATGGTCCAGCCGGCAAAGAAAGCCTTGCCACAGAAACAGCACGAAGACGAATCCTAAGGACTAGAACACTGTGCACACGACAAACATCCGGTGTAGGACATAGAAAATGTGTGGCCGTTGTTTTTGCACTATATTTCGCAAACTCCTAGTTGAGCCCTAAAAAAAATTGAGTGCCCTTCTACCCCGACAAGATAAAAGTCCAGCGAAGCTGGCGCTCTGGTGGGATTTGGTGTGTCGGGCTGAGAGCAGCGGCGGTTTCACATTGGCGGCGTGCCAATTCTGGCTTCTGGGCGCGCCCACGCTCCCCGTACTCCCGCTGCTCCTCTTCGGAACGTACAACACGGGTGCGACTCTTGTGAAGTCTGAAGTCCAACTGATAAGGACAATGGTGCGATCTTTGGCAGGTGGCCGTCGAAGAGCGCGCGGCATTGCCTAATGTTAAGGGGGAGAGAAACGCCGCGGGTGGGGAAGGTACGCGCATGCAGCACCGCCGTCTGCAGCATTAACTGTACAAAACTGTTGATCTACGTTCAGTCTGACCAAGGAGACGATCAGCCAAAACCTAGCCATAGACAGCTTCGCTGTAAAGAACAGACCTAAAGCTTTTTGTGAAACGGTGTTTCCGTGTTCCAGGTATGTAGTACTAGAATATAAAAGTTCCAAGGTGCGCAAATGTGCCGGTCCTTACCATCTCCCCCATACACGTGAATATAATGGACTACAGTAGGGCGAGTTTGTAAGTATACCTAGTTTACCATTCCATTATAGTGGACACTTCGACAGTCATTATTTCGGACATTATGTGGCTTTGGTTCAGTAGCGGCGACATCCACTTTGCAAAGCCTCCCATGACCCAAAGAACACAGCGATGACGATCGTCGATATAGCTTAATAAAAAAATTACTAACTTTCAATGTTTTCAAGTTTCAATAAACCTGTCCTTTTCTAATATCCATTCAAATCTCAACAGCCTTACTGGTTAAAACAGACTCGTCATAACCCATGTCAGTCTGTAGTAAAAGTATTTGCGTTCTGCATACTCCTTTTACAACAGACCAAAATCTTCATCACTATCAAGGTCTGTGACGAGTTTACACCATATAAAGCTGCTAGCAAAAACAAAATATTGTAAAACAAAACGACTAGTTTTACATGAGTCTAGGTACTCCAAGACCACTTGCGTGAACGAAATAACATGCGCAGCGGTTTCTTCTCGCTACATCTCTTTGCTCCCACAGTGCACAATCAGGCTTATGTTTACTCAGATCCTACTTTTTCTTGTTTCTTCACAATTTGTCACAAAATTGTAGTAACTGGGTTCTAGTAAGACTGCTTTCAGCAGGATGCACAAACCACAGGAGGCCACAGTCCTTCGGAGGAAGGACTCAAGATCAGCAAACTCTTTAGCCACGTTTCTTATAAAAAGTTTAATATAATAGGGCTGGTTTCACAACTCCCCTGTAAAGACAAACAACTTCATTTGACACGTTGTCTGGGCACACACGTTTGTTAATCACACTTTTTGTTTGCCTTTCAGATTCTAACAACAGAGACAAAGTCGCTTAAATAAACATTTATTTCGCGTCATCGTCCAAAGGGGCTGGTCTCACTCTTTCGCAAGCTGGGGAATGCACCAGAAGGATATCAATGCTCCGCATACGCAACTGAGGCGTGCACACAAGGTCTGTCAGGGCGAACAAAGTGACTAGGGCCAATCTTGGGAGCACCACAGCCCCGCCCCACGTCTGCGTTTTCAGGCACATTTCAGCAGCAAGGTCCGAGGCCTCCTGCCGTCAAACCTTGCCACGATCGGGTACGCGTGCGAGGGTTATGCAGACACGAGACACCTTATTGCAACCGCACGCAGTGCGTTTTGATTCTAGGCGAACGGCAACGTGTGCAAAAGCCCAATGTCAAATTGAGTACAGTTTAAGCAACTAAGCCTAGCTTATTGACGAGCACAATATGTATATTTCCTCTTCAGATTGCAAAGATTGACCTAGCCAAACAATAGACTATATTCGTATTTACACATATCGCCAGAGAAGCAGGCAGAAGCCACTCGGCATATATTAGAAGGATCTGCCATGGATAAAAACATTGTCACTCGAGCACACAGCTGGACCTCAATCCAACATGTCGTCGTAACACGCGCTTCGCAATACTGGAAAGCGGGTGTCCGTGCAACGAACTTGCAGTGGCACGCAAACGGTGCATTTAAAATGAGGTGTTGTAATATCCATTTCCAGCTCGCTTTTCGTACAGAGCACGCCAAAACAGAAAAGTATGACTTATGCAAAGATCATTACTCCAAAGTCCGCCACCATTCCATTTCTCTAAAACATACATCGGGGCTACGGACGAGTGGCTATCGCAAGGTAACACGCTCGTTAAGAAACATTCTCTCTTGCGAAACGGCGACAAGCCTCCGCTTCCCCTCATTATCGCAACAATGTTCACATCGCAAAACAACAAGATGGATATCTACAATAGCTCAAGTGTCCACGAGTCATCCGTACAAAAAGATTCGTCACAGACCGTGCCCAGAGGTCACGGGCACACGACGACAGTTTCCGCCTGGACGTAGCTACGTTTTGTAAGGTGTAATTGACCTCGATCACCGGCAGTCGAAATATCCGTAATTGTCGGACACTTTGCTCCGAACTGGACTGGCGAAAACCGTCGCTCGATCTTAACTCTAATGTCGACCAGGGTCCATACACGTTGATTTCTAGCAGCTCCAGGCGACAACTCGCCCGTCGTCACTGTTGCGAGGCTTCCGCGGCCCTTTTCAACGTTAATGAAAGCTGCAACAAGCAGGCGTCTTCTGCAGTTTTGAGGCCGTCGGCGAGCATACAGCCTTTGTTAGCCTCGCCTTCGTTGTACCCTTTCGTCTCATATGAGAGACGACGACAGGCAACAACGGAGTCCGGGGCAGTGGCTCGGTTTGGATGAGCAGTCCGGCAAGCCGACTGGCTCGCTGTACGTGGCACGCGAGGAGTCAAACGCCAAAAGGCCGGCCCGACGCCGGAACCCGTCCCTTGACGTGCCGGAACCCGTCCCTTGACTCGCCGGAACCCGTCCTGCGGCAGGACAGCACGTTCCAAGCGTCCTAGGAGAGCACGCTGTGGAGGCCAGGGTCGTAGGAGGAGCTCGGCCGGGCGGGCCTCACGGCCACCTCCTCCTCGACGCTGCTGCCGCCGCTCTCCGTGTCGCGGTTCAGCGAGTGGGCCGTGCTCACGTGCGTCGGTAATGAGTGGCTCGCCCCGTCCTCGCAGTGGAAGGTGGCGGTCGCCACCGTTATCTGGCCGGTGGGCGGGGGGGCCTGCCGCGGGAGCTCCCGGGGCGGGGGGCTGTCGAAGGTGCCCCCGCCACCGCCCCCGCCCCCTCCGGACAGCAGCGGGGTGCGTTCGGAGTGGGGGGCGTCGGCCTCCGACTCGGAGTCAGAGTCTGGGTCCATCCCGGGCAGGACCACCTTGCGCTTGCAGATGGGGCACGTCCGCCGGTTCTCCAGCAGCCACGGCTCTATGCACTTGCAGTGGTAAGCTGCGGAAAGCAGAGAGCAGAGAGGTGCATCAGGGGACTGCCGTGGAAGCACGAAAACCGAAATTCAAAGGAGGGGTCGTAGGAGGAGCTTGCTTCGTTTTACCGTATAATAGAGTACGATGGATGCTACGAGTCAGCGGAGCCGATCTAAATCAAATTTGGCGGTTCTACGTGCCAAACCAACGAAGGGCATCTGCATACCTCTCAGGTTCAGAGAAACCAAATCCGGGAGAATTTCTAAGCACGGGGGAACTAATTTGCAGGAAGACAACTTCATTACATTTATACTGCACTGTTCATGCTAGCTACATATAGCCGGGCCTCGCTATCAATGAAAGGCGTCTTTTGCGACGCCGAAAACTCCTCGTTTAAGTGTGGGAGGGAGTAAAGGGGGGGGGGTGTAATTAGCATTTTCTGGAAGATTTTTCAGTCGATTGTACAACTGTACTAACTGATCGAAATTCGGGAGTCTCCCGCGTAATACGGGACACTTGGCAGGTATGCATCTGGCACACCCCGGCGGATGACTGAGGATTAATTTGGACCACCTGGGGATCTTTTGACATGCAATCAAAATCTCAGTTACTCCCTTCTCCGCAATGAAGGCTTGTTCACACAGACCAGTTTTCTTACGTTATGTTACGAAAAGCCACCGGGAAATCTATGCTTCGCATTAAGCGTGGCTACCAATTCAAGACACAAATGTTTTGGTGCCTTAGACATAACCCAAGAAAATGATGCTGTGTGAAAAGTTGAACCGAGCTCAACTCCTTGAGCTATCTTACGATCAGCCTTGTGCCCTTGGTTGCCACGCTAACTCACCATCCTAGCTCGTCGTCACCAACACATTCGTGTCTCGAATGTCGTGTGCCAGGCTATCTTTTTGAATTGGTAGCCACGCTTAATGTGAAGCACAGATTTCCTGGCGACTTTTCGCAACGTAACGTAAGAAAACGGGTCTGTGTGAATGAGCCTTAGGCCACCCTCAGATTGCGCGTATCTCGGCCGGAATTCGAACCCGCCACCCGGGGCCGGGATTCGAACCCACCGCCTGGTGCCGGGATTTGGACCCACCACCTGGGGCCGGGAATCGAACCCGCCACCTGGGGCCGGGATTCGGACCCAACACCTGGGGATTCGTAGGCCGGCGCTTTGCCCAGGAGCCACGGAGGCGGTTGGCATAGCCTATCCGATGCCGCGCAAATGTAACGCAACCTTCAGTAGGGGCGCGGCAATGTACGGGGAGCGTGGTCATGCCCTACTTTCACGGCACTGGATTGGCAGAAATGGCTCGTAGCAACTCCTGCGGTCACTCGTAGGGTGATACAGAGGGCAGTTTGATAGTTCATATCCATTCTACGGAAAAAAAAATGCAGGGCCCGGGATGGCCAAAAAAAACTTTTCGTGTAAGGCTTGTCAGATTACGAGGCGCTGGGCATAGCCAGCCTTCTGAGTTACGCCCTCATTTTTGTTCGCGTTCCACCCATCGAAAAGCGTGCGGGAAGCGCCTCAGCATGCACCTCGTATCGCTGCACTGCGGTGTTCTTCCACAACGAAAAGACCGTCTGCTTTCATCGCCGTCACCATGGCAATGAACGCTGAATTACCTTTTTGGACGGCGCATTCCCCGCCAGCGTTCACGCTGGTTTGCGGCGACAGTCTGCGGCTGCTCATTACAGAACTATTAAACTCCGACTAGCAGACGGCGTTCAGAAAATTTGTGTTCGTTGCCGACAGCTATGAAAGCAGACGGCCTTTATGCTGCGGAAGAACACTGCGGCACAGCGATACGAGGTGTGTGCTGAGGCCCTTCTTACATGCTTTTCAATGGGCGGAAGGCAAATAAAAAGAGTGAAATAAGAACTTAACGCAAAAGGCTGGTTTTCTCCAGTGCCTCATAATTGGAGAAGCCTTACATGAAAAGCATGTTTTTAGACCAGAGTTTGATGTTTTTGTTTTACAACATGGGTCTTAAAGGGGCAATGCAACAATATTAACCTCAAAAGAATTTGCAGTTTTAAATTTTTACATTGTTTCTCTTGCCAAAAGCAATGGAGAAACAACCTCATTCTTTTGAAATATTGTGATTCCGTTGCGTAATAGCAAATAATAGAACGGGAGCTTTCGGCGTGCACGGTTTGGCTTATATAGCTTTGTAAAACAGCTACCGTAAAATCCCGAGATGCCCCGCTCCCGAAAGATGGCCCACCCCTACGTTTTGTTTGATTTTATATATTTTTTTAAACACCGAAAGATAGCCCACTTCTAGTAATAGCAGTGCTGGGATCCATAATGGCCTCGGCGTGTAAATGCGGCTAGTTAGCTGCGGCGGGATATACCCGATCATTGATGACTGGGAAGCAGTCATCTTTACTTCGTTGCCCCTCGCCACGATAACAAGCTTAAAAGGGAAGCATGACCTAAAAATATAATGGTTTCAACTTTTCTTGATTGTACATTGAAAGTTAGCCCACCACATATTTTCTCCCGATTTTTTCTTGATTTTAGGTGGGCTATCCTCGGGATTTTACAGCAGTATAAATAAAAAAAAAAAAGAAAAAAAAAAAGCCGTTTACAATTCCTCGTAATGCCGGATTAGAGCACAGCTCTGGAGGAGGAGGATAGAAGCTGAATAGAAACTGAGGGATAGGTGACTCCTAGAGGTCACGTGATCTCGGGGGTCGTGTGACCTCAGGGGGGGGTCTATACCTCAGGGGGGTTACGGGGGTTACGTGACCTTGGGGGGGTCACGTGACCTCAGGGGGGACACGTGACCTCAGGGGGGCCTCGTGACTTCAGAGGGGTCACATGACCTGGGGGGAGGGGGGGTCATGTGACCTCGTGGTTATGCCGACGGCGACGCCGCCCACGCCGGGAACGGGCCCCTAAGAGCTGCGCTCTAAAAGGTCAATCGGCTTGCACGGTTTCGTCTACCGTATTTACTGGCATAATGAATGCACCCACCACAACGGGTACCAATATTTGGATTTTTTTTCCCCCTTGTGTAATGGACACACCACCAATATTTGACTCCACGAGTCTCGAATTGCGTTCAATTTAGCTAGTCACCAAGCCAATTTTCTTTTGCCGCCAAACGGTCAAGCCAAGCCACTCTCGTAATGGCTGCAAGTGCGTAGTTGCGGAAGTGATCAACCGTGAAACCGAGCGGTGCACACACTTGACGAAGCTTGGGTTGAGGAATTGCCCAGCCCCGGACATACTTCGCCTATCGGATGCATTGATGTCAACAAACACGCCGTTGTCTGTGGTCCGCTTCCAGAGAGTTAAATCGTGGAAGTGGTTAGGACTATGAACGGTTGCGGGGCTCTATGCGCCGAGCTAGCGTCATGGGGCAACTTTTCTTTAGCAAAAGGCATGCCGAAAGAGCCTTAAAAAGGTTTGCAATTTATAAAGCATGGATACTGTGGCGAGCCCATGACCAGCCGTGGGGGCACACCCGCCAGTGGAGATGTGCCACAGTATCGAGCCGTGTCACATTGGAAGCCAAAATGACATTTGAGCAAGGTGTGCAAGTGCAAAAATTTTACCCCACGTAATGAACGCACTCCCCAAATACAGTCGCCGACCGATTATTCGGACTTCACTGGGACCGGAAAAACGTCCGAATAATAGAGCAGTCCGAAAAATCAGCAGATTGAAAAACTTGCCTTTATTACTTCCAAGTGGGCTTAAAAAAGCCGTAAATAGTGCCTTGGTTCAGGTTACGCCTGGCGTGCCTTGTTTTAGGTTACGCCTCCGTTTCCGCTCGGCAACTTTCTGTTAGCTTGAGAATCGCTGCCTTCTTTTCTAGCATTAAGGTCGAGTACTTTCTGCGCTTCTTAACTACAGATCGCGGCGGCAGAACAACATATGGGGCCATGACGTCCAAGCCAGCGTTTTTCGAACGAGATCAGAGGCGCAAATCCACGAGCGCAAAACGGCGACTGGCGACGCGAAGGAACGAAAAACAAGGAAAACAAAGCAAAATGATGATGATGATGACGTGCAGCTAAATGGGAAAAAAAGGGCTAGCATAGCGTCACCTAGCGGCAAGACTGAGGAGTGCTCAAGTAGCGCTGCCAAACCAAGCCAATCCATTTGCAGCCAACATAAAATTCAAAATGGCCGCTTCTCTATGGTGTTTTCCGCTGATCGCTTGCGACGGTTTTGTCCGAATAATCGAACTTTCGGACTTAAGCTGTCCGAAACATTGGTCGTGAATATACACCATTTCTATGGGGTAAGTCACGGTTCCGCCTTTAGGTCCGAAATATCAAACAAGTCCGAAATATCGGAGTCCGAAAAAACGGTCGGCGACTGTGTCTGATAATTTTTCGGGGAAAAAAGTGCTCTCATTATCCCAGTAAATATGGTAGCTTAGGTTCTGAGAAAAAGAAACAAAATTCTGGCACAACGTTCAAGGAAAATTGTCACATTTCAGCAAAATCTAGCAGAAAGCAGCGGGACGAGCCCCTTGGCACTAATGGCACAACAATTGCATCATGTAGATTAAAATGCGGATGTCAAGATCGTCGTCCACATTTTCGCACTGCTCGCCTTGTGCCTGCAGTACAAGCGGTAACTTTAGCGCATCAACTCCGCTTCCCACATGCTTCAAGAATGTTCCCCTAGCCTTATCACTCAGCCGCAGAGACCGCATCGTGTAGCTTGCGCAGACTTTCAGAAAACAACCTGTAGACTTAAAAAACGTAGCCAAGATGGTCGAGCGTGTTTAACGAACCTGCCGCTTTTCTCGGAGAAAACGGCTGATAAAACACATTCTGCGTTAAAACTCAATTCATGATTGGCCGCCGCCATAGGGTTAGTACAATAATTTAGAGGGAAAGGTTTAGTGCCTTTCGGCCGCTTCCGAATGGCGGGGCATAACGCGACGGCATTCCCGACGGGACCATATGGCCGGTGTGCTTCGATATACACAAAGCGGGAAAACAAAGCTTCTAAGCTCCCTACCTAGCGTTTTCCTAGCCTTACCTCGCCCTAAAACGCCGGTGCCATACATGGTACGGCAATAAATAAATTTGACGAGCACTCGAACGAATTCAACTCGTAGCGGCAAAAGGACCTCGCCTAACCTTTTGTCCACTTTCCTTTCCTGCACTTCCATCACCCTCGTCCTATCGAGATCGCCGACGTCGGCGCCCGCAGTTTACCGCACTCTGCTCCCGATTTTACCCCCCCTCCGGCCGCTGTGCGTGCGAGCCCCCGCTCACCGTGCGAGCAGGGCAGCGTGCGCAGCTTGTCCCCCTCCACAAAGTCCTCGATGCAGATGGCGCACGTCTCGTAGGGGGCGCCCTTCTTGAACTTGGTCACGGGCAGCTTCCTCAGGTGCCTGCGGGAGAGGCGGGAGCGCCTCTTCCTGCGCCAGTCCCGGAAGTAGCGCCACATCTGCAACAAGAAGAGCTACCTGGGTTTGGCGGCTGACCCGCGGCACACCTTGCCCAAAGTCACCACGCACGGCGGCTCTGGCCACTGGAGTAAAGACGCTTCGGTGCTGTCGCCCACTACGACTGGTCGGAAAGGATTGTGCGCGAGACGACCGACTGCGCCGAGGATTCCCAAACGCATTCGGACCTGCCTCCTCCGTGCACTTCTGATGCATGAAGTGTGCGGCAGACTTTGTGCCCTTTCGAAGCATAAACTCCACGGTGGACTTTGTGAATTCCCTTACTTAAAGTTTGCGGTGGGCTCCCGCCTTTCCAACGCATTAAGGGGAGACTTGGGTCTTTGGAGCAAAAAAATTTATAAAACAAATGGTGGTCTCGAAATCTACAGCTGTTTCTCTCTTGATCTGCCAAGTTTCTTATTTTGAAGATTAATATTTGAGCCATAATATCGCTTTATAATATCTATATAGGCTGAAATTGCATTGAAGCTGATGCTAATATAACGCTTCCTCAAAACATATATTCTGAACTCCTAACAAATTTTCAGGAGGGATATCTCAGAATTTAGGGCAGACAGAAGATAACTTTTTTAGCACCATGTAGCTACATGTGCAAAGCATGCAATGTTGGAAGAAGAATTTTCATATAGATGTAGGAAAATTTTTAACCGAAATAATGTTGTATTGCTTGGTAGCCACACACAAAGCACTGAACTTCAATGCGTTGTAAGGTAACTAATAATGGTTCAATCTAACAAGTGCTTCCAACATTGCATTCTGCATAATTTGTGGTATCTCAAAACATGTTAAAACATTATTTAAAAAAAAGTTATTTTTCTCTATTGTTCTTGGAAACAAAGTCTGGTTAATTATAATTAGCCTAAGAAGTAACCTATTAATTAAAAGGCTCGACATACACCTAAGCACATCTTACGAGTTGTGAATCCGAAAGTATTAATGTCTTCCTTTGCGCCGCGGCCGCCTATGATGCTCTCCGCACTGAGGCCACTTGTGATCCTCTTCGCGCCACGGCCGCTTCGGATTCTCTAGGCGCTGCATGCCCGCGCCGGAGCAGAAACAGCTGAGGCGCTGAGGGGATCAATGGGTGCCTCGGGCGTTTCTGCTCTGGCGCAGGCACATACCGCCATGGGGTAGCGCTGATTGAAACTGTTGTGCAGCGGCTTTGTATCACTGCCATTTTGGGTGGCTTTCTGCGTGGTTTCAAAGCTGGGATGCCTCAGATCGGGGCTTCGAGAATTTATCTGCCGTTTGGCGCGGCTGAAGACATCGGCTCGCTCCATGGGACAGTTAATGCTTTTGCATTAAAAATAACATATATTTGAAATCAGCTCAAAACTCTGAAGAAGCTTGTGCTGCTTCCCTGGGCTTGGCCAAAAAAATAAGAAACAAATGCCCCAAGACCAGCGTTCCCTGTTAATGCAACAGTTGGCCACCCGCGGCCTGTGGAGATGCTTCAAAAGGCTCGCCGCAGCCTACGAGTGACGTGACTGATGGTAGAGACCTGTTGGTTGCTAATGACTGCGACTGGGATAGGTTTAAAATGGAAGCTTGGGCACGTGGGTAAGGAACGATTAAAACAAACTGCGCGCAAAAGACGGGACAGAAGAAAGAGGATACACAATCGCTGACCTTACCACTGAAGTTTAGTCGTCAAGGCTAAACGACCTTATGCAGCCCTATGCGGTACATCTGCCTTGAAGCCTTATGCGGTACACACTATGCCAGTGAGCATTTGCATTGGTAGGCACTCTTACAGCTAAATGTTCATTCGAGCATGCCCGATGCCCACTTCCTTCTTCACACCTACTAAGAATTTCTCAAAGAGATACTAGACAACTTTATCATCTCGAGGACGCTACAGCAGTACTTCTAAGGGGGGATTGGTGGTCGAGCGTGGCAAAGCGCCGCAGTATGGAGGAGCAAAAAGTCGCGCTGCAGAACCTGGGGATCCTGGGCGCAATCCCCACCCCTGCCTTCTTCGATCTGGACGAGCGTCGTACCGGCGTGAGGTCGTGTATCACCACTTCGTGGTGCACGTTCAAGACGCTACGCTAGCGGTCGTACTGCATGAGCAAAATTTCTCACCTAAGGCAGAGAGACGAGAGCGCCATTGGAGCTGACTATCTTCCTGCTGCCTAAATAAGGACTGACCTCACTAACTGTTTTACGTGTGCGTGACAGCAACAGCCAACAAGACAGCTTCTGCACAATTGTCACCTGCCTACATAGCCCTGCAGCAGGGTTGTCGTGCGTGCAGAAAAACTACAGTTCCCATGATTCGTGGCAGCAGCGGCGGAGTAACACAAATGAGGCGATGGAAGCGGCATTTGACTTATTGTAGCGAGCAAAATGTTGGTTTAAAGCAGCCATTGACCCTTTTGGAGCAGATCTCGACACGTGCTAGCGCATCGCTCGAAAATTTAATGAAGATTGCATTGCTAAATAAGTAAATCATTGATAATAACTGAAGGTTCGTCTTCGGTATTGAAGTGCATTACTTGTTACCTTTGGTAATAATACTACGCAGAAATAATAAAAAAGAACATGACGCACAACTGTTGTTTTTTAAAGATGGCTTGGGTCAGAGTAGGTTTTGTTTATGATGGCGATTAAGAAAAAGATATTGTTGAAAACTGAATCGCAGCAAGATACCTCAGTTGAGACAGTCTCTCTCCCACTCCCTCTTTCACGCTCATACTGAATGCAGCCCGTAAATATCATTTATGTAAAATTCTGGAAAACTAACATATCCGCTAAAATGTTGATCAATAAAAATATGTTCCACCAATATTGATAAACTCAAATATCTAATATTATAAACCCCCCCCCCCCCCCCCCACAAATGATATACAAAATTAGAGTAGGGCACTAAAAGTGCCACTACAAATTCTGCAAGAGTTAGCAGCATTGGCACCAGAGTCCAGTGAGAATTCATGGTCCTTTCGCTCAACTGTTGCGAAGGAACTAACTCGACTAGTTGTGACGTGGGGACGCCAGCACTGGTTGCTATGGGTATTGCAGCGCGGTATCCATTTTCATTGCTTTTGTGCCCCCGGCTTAACAAACCGATAAAAAGCAGTGAAACTCGAAGCACGCGCGACAGTGCGAGGCTGTGAAGATTAGGGAGTTCCTAGGAGGTCGTTCTCGCTTTATGCTCCGTTCCCAGCCTGCCAAACTGCGCACACGCAACCGACGCTCAAACTCGGAGCGCCCGCTCATGTGCTGTGGCAACAGACTACTTCCATAAATCCCTGCATGCAACACTGTGCGCGTTGCACTCTGGGAGTTGGTTGGCCAGAGAGGAGAGTGGCGTGGTTTCGGTTGGCACGTCGGCAAAAGATCACACACAGATCATGGACTATTTAACAGCCGTTATCTCATGCTTTCTGGTCCCGAGAGAGTCATTTTTGGTTTCTAAACTAACCTAAAGGGCCAGACCTCGAAGCGTTAGCACAAGCCCGCAGCACACTTGTTGCATTTTTGTACTCGAGCCTTTCTGTTAGCGTTTCTAGGTATGTGAACGAGCCAGTGCTGGGAATCTCGACCCTGCGAAGCTCGGGGATCTTGCTTGTGTACGAGTTAACACGCTGTAACAACCAATAGGTGCACTTACATCGAGCTGGCACCTTTACACTAGTGTTGTTGATCAGCTTGCATTCCATGAATTCAATATCGCGTATGTGCATAAAGTGATCCTGCAATCATATAGGCACATTTGAACATACAAACTTGTGCGACGAATGTCGCACCGTTCGACGGACGTGCGCCGGACAGGCGTGAACCCTTATGCGGTGCGCTAAACGAATGAGATTATTCAAGGCGCATTTGACGCTTGCTAATGGTGATAATATTTGTTATGCGTTTGCTTTCTTCCTTACTGAGTATGCCGAGACAATTTCAGACACACCGTTCAGCCAGATATCTTGGGCGTCAGTAAAAGCTCGTCCAAAAAGGCTTAGCGAGGAGTAAAGGACGCTTGTTAGGGCCTCCGTCGTAGCTAGCCGATTTCGGCGTTTCAGAAAACTTAATCTTCTAACAGCATAAAATTTGAGAGGGATATATACGACACAAGGAAGATATCATAGTAATTTTTGTGCAGCAATGAGGTCGAATTTATTGCGTTTCCTTAAAAGTTCATGCGTCAACGCTGGGCAAAACTTTGATACACCTGTGAGGATGCGGCTTGCTTGTCGCCCAATGAAGTAAAAAGAAGCGGACGCTTGGCAAACAAAATACGTGTAATGCTCAAGGTGACCAAATTTCTGTTGTAGTTCACTGGTACTAGACGGGATTATCGAAATTGAGCTCAAAGATGCACTCGTGGGGTGATGTGACTAAGCCACGTCTTACAACGTTTGCATACGCACGCATAATATCCGGAGTTTCGGGAAGCAAGGAAAGTGAACCGGTTTTAGTTTTATATCGCCTGAGAATGAGTGTATTGTACATTTGTGAAAAGACAGATAATCGAAAACGCAAGACGCATTCGGTCACGGCGTGATGGCATGAAATGAAGCTGCCCAATCGAAACTGAAACTGAGTGGCCAACTGGTTCCCAGAGTGCACTGCGTGGTATTTTGCCGCGATGGGGCGCTTCGGTTTTGGAAGAAGTCCATTCCTCCGCTCCGTACAGCGGAGCGGGCTCACGAAAGCAGTCTACCAAAACTCGTTATTGATGTTAGCGGCAATAGTGCCACGCCACGGAGGTATGCAGCTGAGATGAAAAGCAAGCGATCTCATTGGGAGTACGGGACCAAGGTTCTGTCTTGTCGCAGCAATCACCATACCAATATTTTTTTAATTTTTTATAAATTTTTTTTCTCGTGACTTCTAGCTCCGTGACGTCGCCGACATTGTGGCCAGTGTGGCAGACACATGTTTAGCTACGGCAAGTAGAGACACTCCGAAATACGTGTTCTTACCACTTTACTTCGCTTCTACTTCTTTCAATATTAGTGTCGAACAATAGTAAATAATTGTTTTGCTTCGTTTAACCTCATCCTGGCACAGGTGTTGCACAATTTTGAGCAAATATGGTATTTTGGTGTCGCTGCAAGTGGAGGGCAAGATTGGTCTACAGTGCAACCCACTTATAACGATACTGAGAAAACCTGAGATTTCAATCGTTACAACCGATTATCATTGTCCTTGGGCTAGAAACTGATCATTTCCAGTGTAGAAACTCTAACAACTGATCGTTATAAGCGGTACATCGTTATATGTGGTATCGTTATAAGTGGGTTGCACCGTGTTACTTTTTTTACTTCTTAAAGTAGTCCCTGCACGCCCCACCATCACCTTTTGGCAAGCTGCCAGCATGCCTTTAGCAGTCCCGTTCACTAACAATCAAGTTTATTTACCTCCAAGTAAGAGCACAAGAGGCCTGGGTCTCGTACAATTAAATATTAGATATGGCAATGCACATTATAGTCTGTAACGTAAGACGACAGTTGTTACATGAATCACATGGAACTAAATTGAGGTGGGAAGAAGTTGGGACAAGGCAGGACAGGCTAGGTCAGGTAAAGGCTACAAGTCAGGCTGCATTACTCTGAGTGTTAGGCTATGTTAATCTTGAGCCAGGTGTATCCGAAGGCTCGCGGCACGACAGCAACAAGACCATTCGGAAGATACGCAGCGCCACCCATCACCTTTTCGACGCACTACAGCGATTCGACGTACAGCACGTGCCACGTCTGTTTAGCATTTGGCGATTTCAGAATGCAAAGGAAACAGGACGACAACTGTGTTCTTTGCGTATCGCCGGCTATAGGCACTGTTGCCAACGACGCCCTCAGGTGAGATGCTGCCAATGGTGTGCGCCCTACCATGAAGCAGAGCAAGCAGCCGATGCAGAGTCCAATGACCACCAGGAACGGCACCAGGTAGTTGAAGAGGCTCTGGTACGTCTCGGGGTACAGCTTCACCTCGTAGCTGGCGGTGCAGGGAAGAGGGGAGGAAAATGGAAGGAACTTCGATTGGCACGCAGTTGCGTAGCACGATTGGAAAACTGGCAACGTAACCCGTCTTTAAATCTGGCGGCTGCCACCTAATTACAAACGATTGTCTCACCTCCCTAACTAGATTATTGTCTATGCTCATGGAACACATACTTTAGTCCGGTATAATTAATTACTTAAAAGATACCGTATTTACACGAATGTAGGTCGACACCCATTTTTTAATTTTTGAAAATCTGAAGTGGGGGGGTTGACTTATAATCGAATCGAAGCACACCACCGCCAACAAAAATGAAGCAATCGCGATATCAAAAACACCTCCGCTTGTTGCGAGTTCAGCCAGCTGTGCCTGCAGCATTGTGCTATTCTAAGAGCTCAATTTACAATTTTTTTTTTTTTTAATTTGCGCGAAGGAGTATTATTGATAGCGATTCGTAAATTAACCCGAATTTATGGCGGTGAACAGCGTACCGCGTGCCCGTCTTCCGGGGGTGGCGGCATTTCTTGTAAGAGCCACTTTGGATGCTGCTGAAACAGCCTCACGGCTCACTCCCCGCGGTGTCTTTTAGCAGTTTTTCGCGCGATTCACGGTCGCACGTTGTCGATCGAGTGTCGAGATCATGCTGAAATGCTAAATACGTTTTTTTTTTTTTTTTATTGACACGTGTGATCTGGTCAGTTTAGGTTTTTGGTGATAGTTTATGGCCATTCTTCACCCAGAAAAAACCAACTGCGCTGTTGGACACAAGTTCGACCAATCGGAGCGGGTGATGCTCCGGTGAAGTCTGCAATGGCGCGGGATCTTAAAGTGTGACGGCAAATGAAGAGGCTTCCGTGGGCCAAAGGCTTGCAACGTACGCTGCAAAAGTGCGCAATCAGTCCCTACCCGTGACGTGCAACGCGATCGCCGAGCAAGCACGGAAGATGCAGTCATTGGCAAAGTGGGAGATTTCTTAGAACGACGCCGACGACGTGCTTCGAGAATGTAGCAGTGATGACGACGGGACTGACATCACCAGAGCGGATGAGTCGCAGTCTAGTCGCAGATGGAGTGAGAACAGGGAGCAGCTTCGGTTTTCCCGCCTCCAGCGTGAAATTCCTAGTTTCGATGACGCCTGGCCATCTCATGCACCTCTCGCGTGCATGCACAGCCAAAGCACACCAGAAGGCATCGATCACGTGTTGGAGGCTGGACTTTCGAAACAGATACCTTGCCATTCTCACGTGTTCGCACTAAAATGCGCATCTAAATATTTTTTTTTTTTTGCTGATGTGCAACATGGGGGGGTTAACTTATAATTGAGTAGACTTACAATTGTGTAAATACGGTAACAACCTCCTTTTTAATCTCCAACGTGGATTACGGAAACCATACTCTCGTGAAACCCAACTAATGGCATTTCTTTGCGACATTCACACCCACCTTACCACAAACGTTCAGACAGACGCCATTTTTCTCAACTTTTCCAAAGCATTTGATAGGGTCCCTTATCAATGTCTTATATTAAAACATAAAGGGGCGATGCAACAATTTTTGTACTTTGCGCAAATACCGCTCAGAACGGATCCCTGACGTTAATGACCTATGAAACATGCGTTCGTTTTTCACCCCACGCAATAGAAGTCCCAGAAAAAAATGAAAGAAAAAACGAGAAGCGTTCACCCCCTCAACTCGCAGCCAGAACGAGCGGCCACGTGATCTGGAGCCGATTATATGCCGCCAATGTTGATCACAGCCAAGCGCTGGGGTTGGCAAAGCACAGGACACGCGCTGAGTTCCAGACATTGTTATGGCTCGGCTATTTTTATCGTTGCAGCGATTGGACACGGTCCACTACTTGAATGCTTTTCGAACTAGTAATTATCACGAGCCCAAATCGAGTGCCCATGCAATGCTCAGGTCCAATCTATAACTACATTCAAATATCATCATTGGGGTCTACTGCGATCCCCGCGTTACGTCATCAAATTTTGCAAACGAGAGATTGAATGAAAATGATCGCTTTTGTCCTTGAAATTACACCGCAACAAAAGAGTTTCTTGGCCAGTGGTGTTTCGTGCGAGTATCCTTGAGTCCCTCTAGTGCCAGTAAGCTTGTGTAAAGTGAAATACATTCCAATTGAATATTGTTGCACCGCTCCTTTACTGACATTCACGAGCACATCGTGACCAGATAGTTTACGGGCCCATTCTCTCGCCCGACAATCAGCATACCTTGCAAACAGATACTAAACAAATTAATCAATGGTGCAGTAATTGGCAGATGGCCCTAAATTTCGACGATTCCAAATTCCTTTCGTTTTCTCATTGTGCTCTTCTTCAACTTTTTTTTTTGCCATCTCGATGCTTCCCCTGTCACCGTTTGCATTCATTTAGATATTTCGATATTCATTTAACATCCGACCTTTCATGGACATCTCACATCAATAATATGGTAGCTCACGCAAACCACTTCCTAGGCCTTTTTCGCCGAAACCCGAAACCCGCAACGCCACAGATATGACTACTAGCGTACTTAACTTTATTTCGGTCCAAATTTGAATTCGCTTCTTTTGTACAGTGCCCTGTACAATTTTACCTAGTTATAAAACTTTAATCCATCCAAGAGAAAGCTGCAAGCACTCTTTTTTCTGATGAATTCACAAGCATATCTGGATTACGCAAAACTGCTAACCTCCACACACTTTCATTAAGGCGCCTTCACTATGTCTTTCACCATGACATGCCCCTTCGTGAAACGGCGCTTTTACCCCCTTGGCAGATTTTCCCCCCACTTTCACCACTCTTGTAAGTTGGGGCTTATTTTTTCATCAACTATTCCATACAGCAGGTCAACTTTACCTTTGGCCATCACCGATTGGGACATACAACCAAACAACATTGTTACCATAACTGACACACATAAACTTGCTGCCTCTGTAACCACTTTCATTTCTGCTTTATCCGACCAATTCCTTCTTTTACTAAGGTGAGACTGCATGCAAAATTGTTCGGTTGAAAAAAAAAATGTACCGCTCCCTTGCATAATGCTTGTCAGGGCCTTCTAGGATAATAGATGACAATGATGATTAAGGATTAGGGACACAAAAAACGTTGGCAGTATAGAGCGGAGGTCCTCAAACTATCTCGAGGAACCCCTAGCTGGCTAGAGTGGCAGAAGAGGAACCCAGCATCCTGAACTCAGCATCGATGCGGTAAAGCGGGGACGTAGACTGGAGACCTTGCAAACTAGGAAGCTTTTGCCTTACAGTTACGCATCAATGGGTCCCTCCGATCCGCAAAATGATGCTAAAACTGGAAAAACCAACCGCTTAGGGGAGGGATGGTCAAGGAATTTCGGGAGGTTGGGGAACGCCTGAGTTCCTGGGAATCCGGTTCGAGAAGTATAGAGTAACAAATAAATAAATGAACTCCGTACGTCGTGAAACTCGGGGGGGGCGAGGCATTGCAGCGTTTGAGCGCAGTTCGGAGGGGCTTACTCGTCCTTGTAGGTGTACCGCTTGAGCCGTATGCCGCTCTCCTCGCTCACGATGACTGCGTAGATGTTGAGGTCGTTCTCGTCCCTGCCTGCAACCCCAACGGCGACTCGTTTCGAACTGCTCTTGCTCCTCGCTTCACCCGAATTGTGGAAGAAGGCAAAACAAAAAGAATGTGATGGAAAAAACGCAAAAGAGCTTTGGGCTGGTTTGCCGATCGCTGCAGCAAACGGTCCGGCAGGTAGAACAGCCGCAAGAGAGATTTTTAGCTCCAGGCCGGTATAACAGCTGCAAGAGGAATTTTTATCTCTGGGCCAGTTTGCCGATCGCTGCAGCAAACCAGCCCGGTGAGTATAACGGCCGCGAGAGACTTTCATTTCCGGGCCAGTTTGCCGATCACTGTGGCAAACTAGGCCCAGCGGGTACAACAGCTGTCAGAGGAATTTTTATTTCCCGGCGGGTTCGCCTATCGCTGCGGCAAACGGTCCCGGTGGGTAGAACAGCCGCAAGAAAAATTCTCAGATTGCCTCTTTAGCTTTATGCTATATGGGGTGAAAGTACAGCCTTCACCAATACGGAAAACCTAGTGGATGAGGCAATTTCGAGGAGGTGTGCAGGACTCGTCCCAGCTAGACCTCCCCCTTGCCCGGGGTGAGATGAACAAACCTTCGTTCTGTTCTCTATCTAAAGATAAAGTGCCTGTGGCCATTGTGAGCTTGACATCGCTATACAAACTGCCTCACCAAATGGGTCTTTAATATTGTGGAAGACAGTACTTGGCATTCTGTCAGTTCCACTCTGCAGAACTTGCCTGTCATTTTCTTTAATGCTCCCTTAAAGGGATACTGACCTTTCTCAAAATTTGCTTTCATTTTTTTGCTAGGCGATTCATTATGGTGTCGAAAGACTACCCAACCAATATTTTGCTACATCGTCACATATATTTTTAATAAAGTAAAAAAACGCAACTGCTGGAAACTAAAACTGGACTGGGGAGGAAGAAACATAGAGGAGGAGAAAGTTACCGAAAGTCACATGGCTGCGATACTTATTTTTTTTCTTCCAATCAACGTATTTGCAGCTTTTTAGAAGCCACAAAAAATGGGTACCATATTTCTTTTCTATTTTTAATATTGTGCACATTCCTTCCATGACCCGTTACTGATAATTTTTGGAGGTTCTGTTTAAACCTTAGAAAACTGCACATGACCACGGAGAAGAGAGTGAGTGCTACTCAAACCGGCCAGTTCTCGATCGTCAGTTTTCGGGCGGAAAGAAAACGAATTTCAAGTTGCGAATGGTTTTCTGGGTGGTTGGGCTCTCGTACGTCAAGTACAAATAAAATCCTTGGCGAGCATAAATACCCTCTCAGTGTCCCCTTTACGACACCTTCCCCAGATACAGCTTTACATGCTGTTCCTAAAGTCCACGAATGCAGTTCCTTTTCCTTAGATTTAGAGACCTTTCACCTCTCTTTTTTTCACACGGAACTGGACTTAAACAATTGAAGCGAGAACAAAATGGAATGAATGCTGGGCACACTCAGTAAACCGTCCCTGGCTAGCCACTAAGCATCCAGCCTGTAAAGGCTGATAACCCGCAGTCGGCTACGGCTCACAAACACTCGGCCCTCTCTACTCTCCAATTACGCTCGAGTCCCACTAGAGCGACAAACAGAGATGACCGACACCAACAAGAATCAAACACCTTTCGGCAAGCCTGCCGGAGGTGTACCTTCGCGTGCATGCTGCACAAGCTTGAGGCTTGTTGGTTGTTTTTGCTTGTCGCTATAGTGGGACTTGAAACTTCCAAACAAACCATTTCTTTTTTGGTTAACCAGGACAGGACAAAAATTAAAACTTTTCCCTCAAACAAGACTAAATAAAAAATAAATTAGTGCGATATTTACACTGTGGGACTTCCTTTGAGCTAGGAGCAATTGTGAGACATGATTCTATTTCGAGACGTCGACCCCGAAATAGAAGCGCCTTTCATAATCGTTCAAATGAATCCGTGACAAAAATATTGCGCTAATATTGTTCTTCCCAGGGAACGCTCGTTTAGTTACACGTGCCCTGTCCGGGCACTTAAAAAACAAAAATACTTTAAAAACTAAAAAAAAAACTTTTAAAAACATTTCTTTTGGGGAGCTCAGCGTGTTCTTGGATTTTTTAGAGTTTCTTTACGAGCACTAAAGCTAGGCTAATAAAATAAAAGAAATAAAAAAGAGCATGAAGTCCTAATTTCTGCATAACTTAAGAGACTTTTAATGCCACTGGTTTGAACGAGCTTCTCGGATCGCATACTGCTCCAACATGAAACTCGATGTCACACACCCAAAGGCAGGCCTTTGGGGCCTGTTTTCTTAATGTGGCGTTATCTTTAACCGTGGGTTAGGGGTCGACGGCGGCACATGGTAGCTAAAATCACCTGGCTTGCTACAACGAACGAAAGGATACACGGGACCCCCAGGCTTTACTATTGGTAACCTGCGCCACCTAGCACCGACATAGAAACATCATATTTATATGCAGAATTACACACCAGATCTTTTTAATTTATCTGTTTCGAGTTTGGAAAAGATTTAACGCATTCAGAAAAGGGTAAGCAGTTGTAAAGACATCATTGTGAATTGTAAAACCGAAGTGGTTATGAAAATTAGAAAATATTTTATTATATAATAGACAGGACCACTAATATTTGAGGCCACACTTAAATATTGCATCTTATTAGGGAGTCGCAAAACGTCAGAAAGCAAAAGAAATAGGGAGGGGTTTTATTTGAAATATTTTGCCCAGAGATCGTACTTCGGTACTACGAAAAAGAAGCACAGACGACACAATAAGAAAATGAAAATGCAAAAAAAAAACAATATTATACATACCTTTGGCAGGGTAATACTTGGGTTCTGGAGTGATGTGAGTCTCAAAGGGACCATTGTTGTGAGCCTTGCGGTCATAGATCACAGCTACATCGTAGCCAGCATCCTGCGCAAAACGTGCCTGCCGCACCAACGAGACCCCTAAGAAACCTGATCGCAGGACCGAAGCCGGCAATACAACACCTAAACTTTTCTCCTGAAGCCCCATTTGTAAAAATGATAAAAAATTACTTCACACGGTTGGCTCGTGAGACCTCGCGAACCGCCCGAAAGACGCACCCGTGCGTTGTTTATGAAATTTCTCCGGTCATCTCGAGCAACATCGAGCGACATTAAAGAACTCGGGTTAAGGGGCGACACCTTTTTAACCGTTCCCTCAAATTGATTGAAACTTTCAGGGGGATTTCAACCCCATCAGGAATGATGACATCTAAAGTGTCAGTGACTGAAAAGTGACTGAAAATTGGGCAACGCTGCCTGGGACGTGCCTGGAACCCAGTTCAATCTCCAAAAAAAATATCCGAAATTGCCTTCGTTGTCTCTTTAAGTAAGGAACCCTGAACTTCACAATAGAAACACCATATTTTCTGGTGTATAAGTCATGGCTTCTTTCAAACATTTTTCTGGGTGCATCTTACACAACAATGCGACTTATATGTTTGTTTGTTTTTTGTCAAGGTGCGAAGCCACGTTTCTATGCTCCGCACGCCATGTTTCAAGGAGCACCGTAGCTATGTAGCCATTGGTAGTGCTGCGCCTTCCAGGAGGCACTGCTGTTGCCACGCTTTTCTACACTTTTCATAACTGACTCGGAAAGCGAGAAATTTTACGGTTTCCTCAAAGAGGCTCAATCCGGATAGGCAAGACAGTGAGAATAATGCTTTTACAGCATGTGATTGACATTGCCTAATTCAACTATGGTTCCGTACTCTTCTGCTTCACTTAAGTAACACTTAAAGGTAAAAGGGCTGGTATACATGCATTGCACAACTTTTTCGCGTCTTTCTTAATCTCCGTTTCATGAGCATACTCCAGCCATGTTGCTACATGTAAAAGGAAGGATTGCAGCTAGCCGATCTTAGAGGTACACAAAGAAGTTTGTCAAGATTTATCTATCCACCAGTGCGTCGATGCTCGTGTCGGTCTCAGTGGCTGTGGTGGTCCAAAGCTTCGTTCACACGTTAAACTTTCATTCGCTCAGCACATGTACACTAGAATAAAGTCGATTATCTTCTCATTCTGTGCGGTTTACGTCCTTTGGCAGTGAAACACTCGATTGCCATTGCCAGACAGTGCTGTGCTTCTAACATTTTTCGTGAGTCGAGATGTTGAAGTAGTTGCGCTTAAAACGGTATGTGTGAACTAGCCGATTGTGCGAAACTCCGACTTCGCAATACCGATGCACGGAAATAGAAAAAATTCTTAGTGTAAACCAAGGATGGGCAGTATTTCAAATACAAGTATTTGAAATATGTATTTCAAATACTTTGTGTATTTTGCATTTGTATTTAATTACAAATTGGGTAATGTATTTGACGTGTGTATTTAAATACTAAAACGGGGGTATTTCAAATACAATTGTAATTAAATACAATTTTGTGGGCGAAAATACATCCCTGAAATTTATTGTCACGACTCATTTTGCTCAACCTAAGACGCGTCCCTGGTGTGAAGTGTGAGTTTCTAAGGTACAATACGAACTTATGTTCGCCTGCCCCCGTTGAGCGCCTATTTTCCCTTGGCAGCCTTATTCTGTGCCCCAACAGGGGTCGACACGTTGTTCGAAAAGCTTCTGCTGCTGAAGTCGTATTAGTCGAAACTTCACAGATTAGCACGCACCAAAATTACACTGTACTGAGAAGGTCTTCTCTTTAATGTTGCACTTGCCTCTATTACGTTAAATAAATGTTATTGCCAAAGTTACAATTTTTGTTTTTATGCATGTGGTTGGAAGATATAGTCGACATTTTTTATTCGGCCATGGGGCTTTTTTCTTTTTCTCCTCAGTTTTATTTTAAAGGCACTGTCCAGAGCAGTAAGAAAACTACGTTCTGCACCGAATGCAGTGTCTCTCAATCAAGCACAAGCGTTTATGACTTTGTGATTACGGTGTTAGTCCAGGGCAAGAATAGTGACGAAATCGACGTTCACAGGCAGACTGGCTAAATAAGTGCCTGTGACAACTTGTGATGCTTTCCAGCCTGATTTCCATCCATATTTTTGCCTGGAACATTCTAAAGGCGCGGGTCGTCCAGATTTTCGTCACTGGTGCGAATTGCAACAATAAAAAATTCTCTAGCTAGTGCTGCACGTCTTGGTCTCTCGGTTCTTTGTTGGTCTATACCAAAATGTAATCGACAAAAAGCTGCTTGAAGCTCTGTACTTTTTTCACCTATTACGTTCAAGGTGATTACATTTTTTTGTGATTATATTTCTATTACGTTACTAGAGCCTCACACACTAACTCCCGGTGGTGCGATGCAAAATTATAATGAGATACCCAGAAACCCGTTGCAGGTGCCCTGAAGTCGCTGACGCAAATTTTGAAGAATGTATTTGGAAAAGTATTTGGAGGAGACCAAATACATTTGGTTGTATTTGTATTTTGTACTTAAATACTTTTTTGGGAATGTAATTAGATTTGTAATTAAATACATTTTTGACGAAGTATTTTGTATTTGTATTTCGACACATATTTTAATGTATTTTGCCCATAACTGGTGTAAACTATGCAAAAAGGAGCGACCTATAAACCAACTTTTCCGCGAAAACAGCTCAATATATATATGGAGGGGCCACAAATAAAAGGGTGCAACTTATACTCCAGGAAATACGGTAGTACATATTCGCAACCAATTTTTCGGACGGCCTGAAGTCTAAAACTTTGACTCTTTGGACAAAATATTTGCGAGCAAGCAGCAGAGACAACATGCAGAAACCGCCATTCTGAATTCTACCTTGGCTGCAAATGGATTGGCTTGGTTTGGCAGCACAATACGGTAGTGACGTCGCCTAGCGGGGCAACGTCACTACCGTGGCGTCGCCCCGCTAGGCGACGCCACGGCAATGACGCTACGTTGCGACTTTTTCTGCATGTTAACGTCATCACCGTTATTGCCCTCATTTTGCCATTTTGCAATCTCGATCACCGCATGGCCGAGGACCTTGAAACAGTGGCCAATGTCGACGAGTGCCCAGTCACTGATCTGCGCAGCAATGGGATGGATATTCCTACCAGTACGGCAGGTTCCCACACAGCCTGAAAGGACTCTGGCGACGACCTCGCTGACTGCCCGCAACCGTGGACGTTATGAAGGTGTTAACGCTACTATTACATGTCTACGGTGAAAGCATGATGCTCGCGAAGGTGCAAGCTGATGTTATTGCGGGGAGGCGACACATGAAGCAATGCAACTTCGGTGACTTTTTCTCACCCAGTTTAAACGAAATAAAGTTTGTTCTTGTGATCTGTGGAATTTATAACTGTTCCATTCCGACTTTTTTCTCATCCAAACAAAATCCGAAAAAAAAAAAAAAAAAAAGTTGGCGATTGTAATTGTTTTACTCTGCAGCACCATCTGTGCGTTTTTTTGCTAGGTTCACCCGACTGAGTAGATTCTCGTGAATTCAAACTGTAGATTCTCATAAATTCAAACTCCAGGAAACCACAAATTTTGTTTGAATTATAGGAAGTTTTAATTACCAGAAATTCATCTAAATATTATGCAAGATAAAATTATGGCTAGTTATACGGATGACTACACATACAAAGCATATATTTGATGGTGACCTCTACACAGGACTACTACTCATGAGCTAACATTCCAGACATGAAACATTGTTGAGACGTATAAGTTTGTTCATCCCTCTAAAATGCTGTGTATTGTGGACTGCTTTGACAGCACGTGACACCCCAAAACAAAATCAAGCTTGTTCATCCAGTAAAAAATTTGTCTATTGTGAACTACTGGCACCGTTGAGCGCACTTCTTACCGAGCATCAGCGCAATGTGGAAAGGCAACACCCGCAGAAGCGAGAACAAAAAGTGTGATTCACCCGAAAATGCTGTTTAAATTAAGAGGCTTATATATAAATACATCAAAATTTAAACTTGTTTAAATGAACTCGAAGTGTGAGATATTCGAGCTCGCATTATCGCAAGCCTGCTGTAGGCCATTTCGAAGTATTTGACGGTCGAATGCAGCGTGCAGAAAGCATGGAAGTGGGAGACGGACTGCAGCCTGGACCCCGTGGGCAGGCGAAGGAGGCTCACCTTTTCGGCCAAGCCGCACTCAAACCTGGCAATGAGCACGAACCAGGCAAAGCTGTCGTTGGACGGGAAGGGAGGGGGCCTGATCGCCGAGCACGCAGTCAGTGGCGACGCAATCTCTAGCCGGCCCTGACGATGAGACGTACATCGCAAACATAAATTACGCTTTACTCCCATGCAGGGTAAGCACGCAGCCAGACAGTGCAGCCGGAAAACCACCAATCCGATCCATGCGCTGCTTAAAGGCTACCATGTCTGAACTTGTCGCAGAGTTGGGTGGGACCGGCCGAACATAAAAATGGAGGACAAAGGAAATAGAGGAAAGGACAAACTGTCACTAGACTACCAACCATTTTAATGAAAATCCTCATCTTCGTGTTTTACTAGATGTTCTTCATTAATATAGTTAGTAGTCCAGAGGTAGTTTGCCTCTTCCTCTATCTTCTTTATTCTTCCTTTTAATGTTCAGGTGCTCCTAACCAATACGTTAAACTAATTAGCTGAACTCATTTCCGTCTTAAGTTGCCACAGAGACTAAAAGTAGACATATGAACTGACCGGCTTCAGACGTCTGTGCCACCGGTGCTTCAAACCTATGTATTACCATGCTTTGGCACGACACAGAAGCTTACCGATATGTTCACACTCATATTCAGGCCAACTGCTTTCGGTAAACGTGGGTGAATCAAAATTGATAGTCCTATTTCTAAAACTAAGTGCCGAAAGGAGGTACTTTCCTGTTCTTTAGCCAAGAGGGCCATTTCTTCATTAGTCTACATATCGGAGAAGCTTTTATCCCTCTCCTAGAAGACTTATAGTGGTGAGATTGCTTGTCTGTCATTAAAAAGTCACACACACACACCAAATGTGAAATTGTTGGTCAGTGAGCGGTGCTGTGCAATCACGTGTAGAACCTAAAAATATTATGCTGTAACCAAGAGGGTTTGACGACTTCTTGTTTATTTTTTTGGCAGTTTCACATTTGTGACATAAAACTGTAAAAACAGTCACAGCAACTGCGTATTTGATTGAAAAGCAAACCCTACAGCAAAAGGTGGAGAGAAAAATGAGGCCAGTGCAGAACTAGCACTAGTGAAGATGGATCTTCTAATATCGACTACTTAAGGAAAAGAGCAGAAAGAAAGCAAAAAGGTGCTGCATGCTCACCGGAACCCCTTCATCGGGTATCATTGCCGAGAAGCTGAGTTCCTGGTCAAAGATGTGCTTTAGCTCTGGCGTCGAATTGGTGTGAAGAGGTATCTGGAAAGCAATTTAAAAAAAAATATATTCAAGCAGCAACTGAGCAACCGGTACTGTGCTAGACGATGTGATTACAAAGCCAAATATCCACTTCCGTACCGTACAACCCAGAAAACTGCGGAAAAAATGACTGAGCGAGGCAGCTCGAAAGTTGTTCTACGCAAGGCAGATATTTGGTGCGAGGGCTGCACCACCCCATGTGGCGTCGCAAACGCAGTTTTGCGAACACTGCCTCCTGCAAAACAAACATGCAGTCTTGCACCCTTAAAAACTAGCGCAATGAATGGACAATTTCATTTGAAGCCTGGAATAGATTTCCTTTAGTAATACTCTAGTAAGGGTGGAACTGTTACAAAATTTGATTCCTCTGTCAATTATTTTCACTCGGTGAAATTATTCAACATCTAGAAGGATTTTTTGTTGTAGTCCGCTTACATTTTTCCATATGAGTAACTTTCACGCATGTCCGAATGATTCAGACTAGGTATTGAGATACTGATATAATTTTGGTGGCATTTATCTATCGTCTGGAAAAGCGAGCTTAAAACTCCCCGCAGCGTGCACCACCACCTCAAAGGAATATGTCGCATAAAGAGAGATAACGAAACTTGACCGCACGAAAGGCTAGTCTTTTCAATTCAAACAAAGCCATCCGCAATGCCTCCTCAATAATTGCGAGGCAATATGCTGGCTTGCTGGCACTAAGCTGGAATGTGTAATACGGCTTTCATCAGCAAACGTGCAGAGCTCACTATACGACGAAAGATAAAACTTCCTACCAACACCCAAGTGGAAAATATTCACCAATGGAAACCACTAGACAAATGGCAACAGATGCGTTTTACGACACTACGACTATACTAGTTGTATTTACCCTAAGAACTGTAGAAGAAAAAGTCCGGCTCCTTGCAAAGCATTACTATTTGCTTTGTCACCACAGTTTATGTGGTGACTTAAAAGGACACTGACACCCCTAAAAATATTTCTTTTTAATTTTTGCCAGGCGATTCATTATGGTGTCGGAATACTACCCAATTACTATTTTGCTACAGAGTCACATATTTTTTTAATAAAGCCAGAAAACGCAACAGCTCGAAGCCGAAACTGAAACTCCCGCACCGAACGGAGAAGTGGAGAGGAGAGAGTGAGTGGCGGAAGTCACGTAACTACAACCAACAGTGCGATTTTTTTTTTTTTTTTTTTTTCCAATGGCAGCAGACGAAATGCGTTGCGGGATTTGTTCGCCGTGCGACTCCTTTGCAGTTATGTTTGTTCCGCTCGCTGTTCTGTACCTCAAGATGGGTTGTTTTGCACATTGAAGTGTTGGCAATTAGTAGTGAGTGCCCGTGGTGAATTCCCGTGATCGGCTCCGAAAAGAATACTTCCAAGATGTTGTGTGAAGAGCTGCCTCACATGTCCTGCATCTGAAAGTGGCATTGTGCGGCAGAGGTGTCAAAAATTTAATCCCATACCATTTAGTTCAGCGACGTATCGTCTACAACAATTGTTTTTGTCAGTAATAATTGTAAAAAAAAAAAGAAATGTAAACGTCGAAAAATGTTTGGAAAAAAAAAAAATGGTATGCCCACACTAGGGATTGAACCCATGCCCGCTGTGTGTGAATCGGACGTCTTCCACTGAGCTACTGAAGGAGCTCTATCGTTCATAGTAATGCAGCCGGTCGACTGTATGTCGGAAAGTGTGCTGCCGATTTCCCCCCAGTACATGCGCTCCCGGCTTGAAGTCAGGCAGAACCACGCATTGGCCACATTCACACCTAATAAAGAAACCGTAAACGTGTGTATTCGACTTGAAGTTCGCACTTCGTGCTTGACGTTTGCGAGTGAGATATCTTCAGCCACGATTGCACGAAGACGGCTCAGCGACGTCTTCGTGCAATCGGCTTGCTGGCCGGGCGTGTCGTACGGGATGAATATCAATTCTTTTGATCGGTCCAAAGTTTCTCTTTCGAAGGAAGACAAAATTTGTCGGTACCCTGAACGACAGTTCTGAAGTAGAGGTCCCACGCCCGTCGTCCGCTGCCACCCACGAGTCCCACGATACGCGAAACGACGCCATGGTAAGAATTATGCAGTGAACGCACAGAATGCTTCCGGTTGTCAGAGCAACCTTTTTCAATCAACATATTTGCCGCTTTTTGGAAGCCACAAAAAATGGGTTTCATATTTTTTTTTCTATTTTTAGTATTGACTCTGCCGTCAATGACCAACGACTTTGATGAAATTTGGTGGTCGTGTCTGAACTTTAGAAAACGGCCCGTGACCACAGAAAAGAGAGTGAGCGCGACTCAATCCGGCCAGTTCTCGATCGGCGGTTTTTAGGCAGAAAGAAACCGAATTTCGAGCCGCAAATTCTGTTCTGGGTAGTTGGGCTCTCGTATGTCACGTACAACGAAATACCTCAGCGAGCATAAATACCCTGTCAGTGTCCCTTTAAGCTATATGCAAGTGCATTCTGGATTAGCCACATTTCTTTTATTGAGATCGAAGGCCAAAAGCATGGTTTCTTGCACAAACAGCCAAAGCTTGTAAAAACGACTCCATGCAATGTAGGAAGAATGCGCCAAACTTACTTCTTTCTTCACGTGTCGAGTGTAGGCGATTTAGCTTTTCAGCCTGTCTCGGTACACAAACCTAACAGTAGTGGACGTTATATCACTCACTTCATTTAACTGTGAATGTTACTCTCACAGTTTCTGACGCTCGCACGGAGTTTGCAAAGCAACGGCCCAAGGCACACAAGCACAGCAGCCAAGCGGCGCAAAATCCCCTAGCAAACTACTCGCTCCAACAGGTGAGGAGCACATACCTCGGGTCACAAAGTAGAGTGATTATGATTGTGTCAATGGTACAGATAACACTAAATGGCATCATAGGGCAAATGGAAACTATAAGCACTCAGATATGTCTAAGAAGTGAGTAGAAGTGCTCTTTAGAAGCGTGAGCTTCTAAAGAGCCCAACTCACACATGCGCGGCTCCCCACCTCCCACTAGGCAAGCAGCGATCGAAAACATAACGAGCAACGGGTGTAGTATTGGCGCAATGAGAGCATGCGACAATGTGACAACGCCGCAGGTGCCACGCTGTCGTTTCACAACACCTGCAGTGTCGCCTATAGAAGGACATGGCGAAATAAAACTGGGGTTCCTTTTCCCGGACTAGAAGCGACGAGCTGTTCCTCGCAATCGTGCACCACGCAATGCGGCGGCGCGACAATGGCGGGGCTGGAAACCTGAGTCCACGGGCAGGATTGACGTGTGCGGGAGGTTCCCAGAAAAGGATTCATTCCCACTGCAGTCGGCTTTGACACGGATGGCCTTTGTACCGGCAGATGTCCGTTAGATGCACTGCACCAGCTACATTGTCCGTAGCCAGAACGTCGAAATTACATCTCAGATATGCCCTCCGTTCCACACGAGGACGAAAAAAACTCGACCCCCGCTTTATTCTTTTCGGTTTCCGGCGCCGTTTCTATGGGCCCGACGGAGACTAACACGCCGCTTCGAAATGCAACGGGCGGGCGAGCCGAACAAACGGGGGGCGACAGGACTCACCACAACAATCTCGGCTGCCACCAGCGTCGCATGGAAGAGCGCGGCGAGGCTGACAATGCTGTGGACGTAGAGGATGGTGATGTGGCAAGGCATCCTGCGATGGGGGAACATCACACCGTCAGCGGTCTAGAGCCCGGCCGCCGCCCTGTAGTCGCATCGACGTCCCTGCGCAGAGGGGCGCGCACTGTCACGGAGTGCAAGCGGCTCGACGCCGCGTGGAGCGTCTGCCACCGGAACCGCCATACATTTTCTGGCAAACAAAGTACCCTGCACTCTTGATTTATAGTCTGCACCCTGCGTATAATCCGCAGGGGCAGATTTTGGTTAAGAAACTAAGGTTTTCCTATTGTACAAAAAGTATTCGTACAATCTGTCACGTCTCGTCTCATAACAAACAATCTCGAGAAACAAATGTTAGTATGGTCTGCACCTGCAGGTTATCCGCGCCAAAATAAGTTTCCACTTCTAAAGGTGTTCAGTCCTCAAACTTTAGCACGGAAAATATAGTAGACACAAGTGCAAATGGTTTATGCCTCTTTTCGAAGTATTCTCAGAGCACACAGATAAAAAAATACCACGGTTGACCTCCAAATTGGATCAACACACCAATAGACACAGATGAACTAGCAACTCAAATATTATACTACCAACATTTGTTTTTGTGAAGTTATTCAGTTTCCAATTTAGGTTCTCAATATTTTTTTAATTGAATGTTTTTATTGGCAGCCCACTAGTGGCAGGCTTGGGTGGACTGTTTGAGCAGTAGAACTTGTTCACCACTAATTACAAGTTTGATGGTGTAAAATGAAAGCTGTGAAAGCTCACTTCACCCCATCGTAAGTGGCACAAAACAAATGCGCGACACACTGTTTCCTGGCCTGCATAGAAGACCTGCAAGCTTCCAGCCCGTGACGTCACACTGCTAGAAAGGGGGGACAACATTTGAATGTTAATTTTGGAATCACCTTTATTTGCCATTTTGTACTTAGCTATTCTGAATTTAGAGATACTATGTAGCATGCCAGGAGTAAAACCCAAGTATTTAGAAGATGTAGTTAGTTTGATTAGCTAAAACAAATCTCCAGAGTCCCTTTTAAGGCACACATGCAGACGATCCCAAGGTATTTTTTTAAGTAGCCTTTTTGCTTTCTGAAGCGGAGGGTATGATTTGGTGCTGTTACCCAGAGGTGGCCCACCGTGATGCAATTGGGAAACACCGGGATAAATCATACGCAAGGGATAAGAGGTAATGCATTTTAAATTTTTAGTCAATGTGGTTGCATAAACTGTCTTGTGTGTGTTTTTTCTTTCTTTCTTTGCAATGTCAGATTATATTTTCTTTATGTTCGATATTCATGTCTGTGGATGTTTTAGTTTGATTGTTCTCATGTACTACTTTCTTTTCTCAAATAGTTTTGTGTTACACCTACCGTGCATGCTTTGTGTTCTACATTTATGTTGCGATGCATGTACCTGTCAAGAGGTGCACCCTTCTGTAGGCCCAAGGGCAGCTAGGGGTACTGCAAAAGTTAAATAAACATATAAAGACACGAGCATGCTGCACTTGCACTACTCAGCTGCGCTGTGTCCTTCATCTGCACTTAGATTACAGCGAGTTTCCGACTGCTCGATCGAGGTCGCGTGGCTTATGGGCTGCATTTGCAACATGAGCTGCGAGGAGGCAACGAAGGCATTGATCGTCTGCCAGAGTCTCAGCTTTTCCGCCAGCCTTCCTCCTTGCCACCCGACAACGCGGCACATGCGCACTTGCGACCAATCTCCATAGGAGGCGTCCACCATTAAATTGCAAATGCTCCTCACGGTTTCAGATGGACCCTCTCTACAGACTATTTGCTTTCAATGACCTGAGGTCCCACCTATCAACTGGAGCGCTAAACCAAACTCTGTTTGACCAACATCTGTGTTGGTCACAGATGTTGGTTGTCATTCAAATTCTCAAGAACGTTGGTCTCATTTTTTGCAGGAGCAAGGCTGTGCCCCAATGCTCTACAACAGAAGTTTTTAACCATTGATGTGATGCGGACCCCTTAAAGATGATGGAAGACCCCGTTCAAGGTGAGGGGAATAGAAAGGTATATGTTCATCATGATAATGATTTAATATATGAATATAATTAATCGCTAGTGTGAAGTAAACTTTTCTCATTGACGTTCACACAAGAGAACTCACCCAAAAATTGGAATGTTTCTTCTCAATGTGAAAAAAAAAATTGCGGTGGCTTAGCTCGGCTATGCCAGGATATAAGTAGTGTGAGCTTATGCGCACAGAATGAGAGGCGCTATCAAGCGGCTCCGGTGCAGCGTCAGACTTGGCTACTGCGCAACGGAGGCGGACAGCTGGGCACGCGGCAGCGCCAGTGCGTCTGCCGCAGCTATGACGTCACTCCTCTGAAATGCGCAGACCGGAGAGGCGCGCGCGGCGGCAGCGGCTCCGGCGCGCCAGCTGTGCGCTGTGTGACGTTACTGCTCCTCGCATATGCGCAGACCGGCGAGGCACGCGCGGCGGCGGCGGCGGCTTTGGCGCACCAGCTATGCGCTGCGTGACGTCACTGCTCCTCGCGCATGCGCAGACCGGCAAGGCATGCGCGGCGACAGTGGCTCCGGCGCGCCAACTGTGCGCCGTGTGACGTCATTGCTCCTCGCGCATACGCAGACCGGCGAGGCGCGCGCTTAGCCCCATAACACAGACTGAGGCTATGATTTCAACCACAAATAAACGCCCGCACATCTACTCGGCTTTAAAGGGATACTTCAATGAAATATGAAATATTCCCGTCGTGTTCAAAAATAGGTTGAATATGACCCACAATATCCGTAAATGACAATCGCACGTTTGTATTTTGAGCCTGGTGGCTGTATTTTTCGTTATAAACGGCCCACTCTGGCAAGCGCTCAGAGAAGGCCCAGCGGAGACCACGTGACATCCAACGCAATCGTGACGTAGGTCGTCTCAGAACGAGCAAAGCTACAACGAGGCTAACGTCGAGAGGATGGCCTTGTCGTTCCAGCCACCGAAGTGGCTGCTTTTGTACGAATATTGAGTGATGGGTTAATCCTCTATAATCTTGTAGAGGGACAATAGGGACTTTTGCACCACAGAAAAGGCATTCTCGGGAAGAGGGGAGTTCCTCCTTCCCCTCTTCTCTCATCGTGGCCGGAGGCGAGACACTCAACATCACTAACTGTCAAGGTTCCTAGACGGGCACTACAAGCGAGGCGTTAGCGACACCCACCAGGTGCTCTTTGCTAATCGTTTGATTCGTTTTAAAATCCCTTTTCGAGACTTTTTTAAGAAGATATTGGTATGTTCGATGTGATACTGCTCCATTGAACACATATAAACAAAAAAATGAGCGCCGAAATTTCGTTGTAGTGTCCCTTTAATTGGCCAAAGCTGTCATGGTCTTGTGCTGAGGTAATCGTTCCTCGATTGTACAGAAGCCGTGGAGAGTCTGGAACGACTGCCGCGGTGACTCTGGCATCTCCAGTTTTCTGGAGCTGCAATGAGCAATGAGAAGCCAGTGACTTCATCCCATAAGATAAGGAAGCAGGGCACAGACAGGACGGTGCGAGAGGAAAGAGTGCGTCTTCGCAAAGTCTGCCCCGCAAACAAGATCTGGAGAGCTGCCCCGAGTATCAAGTCGACGCTTACATACGGGCAATCTTTTTCCTCGCAGACTGTACGGTGCGCCAACGCGAAGGGAGCGATAAGAGCGCGCGTGCGGGAGGGGACACTGTAAGTGATAACGTGAACGAGCGCCGATTGCCGGTGGAGATTGGAGAGACAACGAGGTGGATTACCCCACGTGGCGACGAAGACGAGGATCTCAAGATTGATCTTTCTCCAGTGAGCCTCTGTGCCATGTTTCCACCCCTGCCCCAAACTCCGTCTCCATCTCGTTACGGGAGCGGCCGGCATTGTCGGCACACCTATATTTACTACTCTTTTTCGAGGATTCTCTTTTTGGCAGGGAATCTACAGTCACTGATGGGATAAGAACGACAGAGAGGAGTTTTAGTCGTGTTGTCTCCAGCGTGAGCTTTTCGCCTTTGGTTATGCTTCTCTATCTCGTGGGCCTTGAGCATGTGTGCTGTCAAAGCATGGCGAGAGGCACGGGCGTTAGAAAGACATGCCCTGCCGTTATCATTCTGCAAGTGACTATAGAAGGATTTTCATCGAGCTTTGATATAAACCATAGTATGACCGCTACAGGGCAGCAACGTGCAAAGTGCGTGCGGGTATGCCTGCTGTATGGCTCGCGCTTTTTGCTCATCACTTGCAGCCATCTGCTTCTGTGTCCTCATTATCCGCGAAATTTGAACCAACGGTGCCACAAGCACCTGTACGGCGACTACATCCCATATGCGTACTCCGCTTCTGTACATCCAGCTTCGCTAAAATGCACCTCGCTTACACGTCGGTTGAGCCGTTTTAAAAATCATTAAGATGGAGGCATGGGCGCATCGGATGTATGCAGGCAGCTTTAACTATTACTTCATAAACAATGAGGAAACATTGAAAGCGGCACAACTACCAGCTGCCGAAAAATTAACGGAAGCTGATGACACAATGTGCGCTACAACTTGATGCGCGTGACAGGAAAAATAATAAAACTCCTCCTTTATAGTTCAATTGCCTGTAAACAGATGGTGCAGTTGAATCTACCTGCTCGTTAGACCAACAGTGATGCGATTTGTCCAAGCAATTTTGGAGCATTCTTTGGAGCAGCAATAGAAAAGTTTGGCGCCCAAGCGCACACTTCATTTTCATTCGTACCTCTGCAAATATGTTAAGATGCATGTGTTGGCCTGTCCAACTACTAGGCAATGTCTACAATGGCTTCTCACTTATGTGCAACCCGTTGCAGCTTCCCTTTAAAGGTGCAACTGCAACTCGGGTTTCGGCCGCAAAAACATCCCCAGCTGGTTCAAATTAATCCTCCGACCAGGCGTGCCGGACGATCTACGTTGGTTTCACACGTAAACACAAAATCAACCTTCACTGCCGTGCGTCACTGCCGAGAGAACAGGTGCAAAGCTAGAAGTAATTTTTCCCAGCCCCTACAGCCTGTACTCGGCACAGAAAAAACAACCTCATGACAGATGCATTCCTAGATGCGCATCTATTTGGAGTCGTAGCTTAGG